AGCCCCGCTTGGTAATTCACGTGGAGAGAGCACGAACTTTAATGCTCCCCAAGCTTTTATACTCTCTGGGGACGTTGGGGACGTGCAAGCCCCCACATTACAGGTGAAGACATACGTCACAGGAAAGGGTTGTGCTACAGGTATTACAGTGATGGGAGAGGGTGATCTAGGGACATACATGCTATAGGAAGAGGAGGGACAGTCGGTTTGGTCTGTCCCTGGCCCAATTATCAGTAGGATTCGAACTCCGCCCACAGGAGCCTGTCCATTGTCCCCAGAGGCAGGGAGCAGGCTCACCCAGGTGGTTGGTTGAGACCCCAGTCTGGCAACTGATTGCCTTCAGGGGAGGGAATGCCTGCGCATTTGACCTCCCCCCATATAAAGGTGTTTGTGATTTTATAGCAATATGTGTTTTTAATTTATTGTCATATATCAGGTCACATTATGGGGGATAGATCCATCATTATATAGCTGCCAAACCTCTGTGAATAAATGGCCGAACCAAGTTGACACATATTTTGGGGGATACAATTCAATTCAGGAAAGCAGCCTAGGTCCCTCTATTTAAGCCCAGATTTGGATACACAACTCATTCATTCCGTGGCATTACCACCGAGTATTGTATACTCGGCATCGAAAAGGTAGCATGTATAGGATAGAATTCTCAGTTTTTCGCTTAGCAATCCTGCTACACCCAGTTTCACTATTTCAACTGATGGCAATTCAGCTCCTGTGTTTTCAGGTAATAAAATGAAAAGCCATGACGGATTCCACTTTCTCTCACCTCTCACATCCAGCTTGCGAGGTGTCTCACATCCAGCTTGCGAGGTGTCCTCCTCGTCTCTGTCCTCAAAGGACATGCGGAGTCTCTCTCTCACTGCCTTCACTGCCCTCCTCTGCCTCAAGCCATACGTGTGTGCTGCTGTAGCAAGAGGAAAGACACTCAGCAGACCTCTCAGCTTTGAATCCTCTCTCTGTTAAAAAAAAAAAAAGTTCCCGCAGACCAGTCAGAGGGATCTCTGAAAAAACATAAGACACATGGAATTCCCTCACTACTCACACCCCTAAGACTACTGATTGAATCGGATTGAATCCAGT